AGGGGAGCCAGCGATCTTTATTTGACAGGTTCCAAATAGGTCATTTGCAGATATTATTTAGTGTTCCCATTTTAGAGATGAAGTCGCTGAGGCTCAGAGAGAGTGGGAGATAAGGGAAAATTTAACATTTGCTGGGCAGTTCTATATATGAAGCATATGTGCTCCTACTTTATCCTCCCAACAACTTGAGGAAATGTTATTTCCATTTTGTGGGTGAGGAGCTCAGCAAGATCAGGAAGCTGCTGTGTCAGAAGCAGGATCCAAATCTTTGCCCGACTTTAGTGCACATTTGTCACTGTGCACAGCCACTTCTTAAGCAATTTAAATGCTTTAGTGCATGATATAAACCTGAAGTTACAAAGGTAGTAGGGGCCTCAGCAGAAAAATGCAAAAGTTAGATTCAGGGCACTGAAATATGCATGTTACAGACATACGATTGGCATTGAAAGGGGATACTGTTTGTAGACTAGGAAGTATACTAGTTCTTTGGAGAAGAATGAGGACTTTTGAGGCTGCCTGAGTGGGTGTCTATCCCACCTCTATTGTTTGAGAACTGTGTGATCTTTAGTCACGTACTCAAAATCACTTAGCCTTAGCTTCCTTGCTATAAATGAGGATGATAATAATACCTAACTCACAGGGTTGTTATATGGAATAAGCACTTTAATATGTAAAGAGTTCTTATAATAGATGCACAAAATTCTTGCAAGAGTAGGCCTTACTTCCCCCGGCTGCCAACACAGGCTTCCCTCTGGCACTTGGGACCTGGGTTTCCCTTGCAGCCCCTGCTTCATCTGGAGTTCATCCGGAAGGACATTCGGAAGGATGTCAGGTCTATTTAGCATATTACACTTTTTATTATTATAGATATGGCATATAGTAGATGCTCCTTAGTGTTGTTTTCTATTATTATATCTGGAGTAATGTAAGAATATGAGATTAATGTACAGAAGGCATCAATTTATACACTTTTTACATCACATTTACATTGTGATGTGATTAAACCTCTGTTTCCTTCTAAAGCTCACTAGATTCTTAACTTGTACATTCCTTGTTATAGAATCTGTAAACATGATCCATCCGTGTTACTTTTCAGTTTTTTGAGTTAATCCATTCACTTGGTGAACCAAGAGGTACTGAGCGTTTGCTGTTGCCAGAATATGAGTTAGGTGGCAGCATTTTAGAAAGGTCTGATGAGCCATGTGCCCACAAGCTGCTCCGTGTGGAGGAGTGGGACAGATGTGTAATAAATAAACAAAGTGAAGGATCATAGGCCCCTGGAGAGAAATATCCCAAAATAAGCTAAGGGCAGAAGAAGGAAGCGGTTATATCTGAGGAAGTCAGAGAAGCCCAAAGGTAAGAAGCATCAAGTCAAGCCTAGCAAATCAGCATCATGTTCTAAGCAGAAGACACCAAATTATCAAAAGCAATGGGAAGCATATGGAGAACAATAAACCACATATTGGTAAATGTCAGGCACGGGGGTCATTTGTATGTAAGGGTGGCCAGACAGACAGGGGCCAGGTCATAGACAGGCTGACATCCTGTGCCAAAACTATGGAAACTGCTTGCAAGGTGTTTTAGCAAGAGGGTAAATGGATGCATCGAGTTTAGGGAAAACTATTATGGAGAATATGGTGAAAATAAATTGAAATGGTATGAGTGATGCAGAGTAACTGGTTAAGAAGTAATTGGTATCATCCAGGTAAAACATCATGAAGGCCTAAAATAAGTCAATGAATATCATATTCAAAATGTAATAAAGCAAAAGCAAAAAAAAATGTTATAAAAACAATAGAAGAAAAACAACAAATCACCTTTACAACAGAAGAACAGTCAAAATAATATTTTAAACAAGAAACTGATTATGTTACTACTGTTTGAAATGAACTCTGTATGTAATGGTTCCCTCTGCTCTTGAAAACAAAGGATCTCACCGTGAACCACGGCATTAGTAGCCTGGCACCACTTTGGTGCAGGGATCTTAACTGTTTTTGCTCACTGGTGTGTTCCCAGTGCCTAGAAATAATTCCCCAGTAATTTATTAAGAGAGGGAACTGAAGTTAGCTAAATAAAAAGGGGAATGAGTAACAAGGAAAAGATAGATTCTAGGTGGAGGAAACAGACACGTAACACATGTCACGCAACTTCAACCTAGAGCACATGTGTCAAACACAAGGCCCGCGGGCCAAATCCGTCCCGCCAGGCCTTGCAATGTGGCCCGCACAGCGCTGTCATCACTGCACTCCGCTGCGTTTCCATCACAATGACAGTTTATGACTGTTCAGTAAACCATTCGGCCCGCGATTTAGGCTGGATTTTAGATTTTTGGCCCCTTCTCTGATTGAGTTCGACACCCCTAACCTAGAGTATGAAAACAGCTCCATTTAGATTGCAGGGGCTTTTCTCTGGGAAAAAGACTTCAGGAAGAACATAATTTGGGGGGAAAGGGTATGTGTTTTGAATTTATTAAAATCCATGAAATATTCAGGTAAAGCAAACAGAAAAAAATGTGTAATCCCTCACAGTGTTACCCACACTATAATTATCCTTTCAAACATTCTCTTCTAGACCATATAGGCTATTTCTAAAGTCTCACACATTTTTAACGACTGAAGTTTGAGTTTCTTAAGTCTTATGACAAAGATATGTTATCCACGTTCTAGTTTCTGTCTCATAGAAGTTTCACCATTTTTTTGCCACTCTTAAAAATAAAGAAAAAATGCAGCGTTTCATAGTGCGTCTATATTGTATTTGTAAATGTTACTTTATCATTGTTATTGTTGTTATTGGGAAGGGAGGTTTTGTTTCTTTGCTCATTAGGCTAAAGGGAGAAAACCCCACGTTATGAGGATGCCTGCTGAGTTTGCCATTTCTAGCAGTAACCAGCAGGTGGTAGCCAACAATTTTACATTTCTGTTCCATTGCAGTTTTTGTGCCTAAGACTTCTTTTTCCTAGCTTACACCCCTCACTCCAGCTACAAATTCTCCCACACAAGTATTCTGTGGGGATGAAGGACTAAAAGGATGATTTTATTTTTTAATGTTTGACTTAAATCTGTTTTGGCATTGCTTTCGGGGTGATTTTTATTTTGACGCATGCACTGAGGTTTCTTTTTAAAATAGAGATACTGCTTTATATTCAGTAGCTCATCGTTGCTCTAACACGTCTATGGGAAAACACTGTTTGTAATCCCCACTTTACAAAGAGGCTAGGCATCTGGCCAAGGTCACAGAATGAGAACTTGGGTATCTGGCCGTGGCATCCACAGTGTCCGTCTCTATCCTGGAATCACTGCCCCTGATTTTATTTTCTCCTTTAAGTGCTTGTCTGCACCCAATACTTGTCATTCCTTTCCTCTGACACTATTTGCTCAGCTACCATGAGTTGTGGTTTTTGACACCTACACCTTGAAATAAGAAATACTACACAGAATAACAACAGGATATTTAAAAAACTTGATGTTAGATATTGACTGTGTATGGGGAACGGCCATATCTTGTTCACATGTATGCATTGAATTTTAGTGCTGAAAGCACTTTAAGATGCTTGCCTTTTATTTTACTGAAAAAGCGACATAACCATCTCCGAAAGCATTGCCTTATAGCAGTCACACAGAAGTGATAAGAGAATAAATGGTTTGTTAAAGAAATGTTTGGCGAACATACATTTATGAAGGCCCTTCCCGGTATAGGAAAATGTCCATTGTTGGGAGACAGGCGAGTGGAGGTTTGCGCATGTCCTAGGTAAATACACTCCTTTATTTAATATCCAGCTCTGCCTGCAGTGCAGTTGGGCCAAGCTGAGCTGAACTACAGTCAGAGATGCTGGCCTCTGAGAACCTTATCATTCCAGTGAAAAGAGAAAAAGGGAGGGAGGGGGGGAGGAAAGAACTTAACCACCAGTGTTACCAATTCCATTGTCAAGTTTCCAACATCAGTGAAACATACGTATACAATTCCGAGATGGGGAAGATTTGAATATGGCGAAACATTGCAGATTCAGACTGAAATTCCTGTGATGTGTTATTGGCTGAAAATGACCACTGACAGTGCACAAGGGGAACAAGGTTATTATCTAAACAGAAAGAAATGTAAAATAGTCTTTAAAAGTAGTAGTTTACATTTTACAAGGTTTTTATTTAGTTGCTTGTTTTATTTTCGATCAATCTTAAACTGCATTATGAAAGAAACTAGAGGCCTGATGCACAAAGATTCCTCCAAGAACTGGCCTTCTTTCCTCTGGCTGCGGGCACCACCTTCGCTCTGGCTGGAGCTATCTTTCTGCCTTCCCAGTTGCCCAGAGACCCAGAGCAGCTGGAGTGGTGTGGAACACCTGCCAACCCCGAGCCGGAAGGTGACTGTGTATGCAAATTAACCTGCCATCTTTGTTGGGTTAATTTGCATACTGACTCCTGATTGGCTGGTGGGATTTGTGAAGGTATAGTCAATTAGCATGTTACTCTTTTATTAGTGTAGATTATGTCCTTATGATGCTATGCAATCTAGAATTAACTTCATACTTAGGCAGCCATACTTAGAAGGAAGAACTTCCTCATAGTTCCATTGTAATCATCGTTGGGAGGGTTGGTTCACTGCCTAGTGTAGTTCAAATGAAGGATGCACAAATCAGTGTGAGACTTGATGTGGGATTTTTAAAAAATTAACATTAAAATGAATAGTAGGTCAATTTAAAGAGCTGACTTTTCCTCATAGGAAATTCTATTGCAGACTCACTAGTCTTTTTACCCTCAGCTGTACTGAAGAAGGGAGCAAAGAGACAGAGACAAACAAAAATGAAAACAAGGCATTTCAGGGTCATCTCTTCCAATAGTTTTTTTGTTTGTTGTTGTTGTCCTTGCTTGTTTGTTTTATTTTATTTTTACAGTGAAAAAATGTGGCCCTGAAAGTTGCTTTGGAAAACAAAAACAAAAACTAATTATAATGCTTCCCAGTTAGGATCTATTGATGTTTCTGGTTTCTATTTTTTTCTTCTGCAGGTGTAACAACTGTTCTAACAATGACGACTTTAAGCATCAGTGCTCGGAATTCTCTCCCCAAAGTGGCTTATGCTACTGCCATGGACTGGTTTATTGCTGTTTGCTATGCGTTTGTGTTCTCTGCCCTAATTGAATTTGCAACTGTTAATTACTTCACGAAAAGAGGATGGGCTTGGGATGGGAAGAGTGTAGTAAATGACAAGGTAAGTGAGAACTTCCTTCTCACCATGATTAAGAGAATACCTGGCAGATATAGCACCAATATATGTATATATGTATATATATGTATATATGTATAATATGTATATATGTATATATGTCATTCAGATTTATTTTAGTGTGCTTTTGCCTGAAATCCTTTAGGACTGCTTATAGTAGTAATACTTGTGATAAAACCTCTCCCTAGCATCTGGTTAACTGACTCTGCATCAAGAACTGTGCTGGTTTTCTACATAAGCTCTAACATATAATCTTCACATCAACTTCATAACTAGAATATCTTTTTAATTATCTTTTTTTTCTGATAAAGAAGCCAAGGTTTAATAAAGTTACTTACTTTCTGAGCTCACATAAGTAGTGAAAAGAATACTTGAACCCAAATCTGTCTGATCATTAAGTTGACTCTCTCTCTTGACACCACAGTGATTCATAATAAAGAGATTTGGAAAGAAAAATGGGCATTACCTTGACCTACTGTAAAATTTCAGGCCCTGTCAGTGGAGTGAGTCTCTACTCTGCACCTACTGGCATGCGTTTCTGTTGCTTGCATCATTGTTTTCTCTCCCATGTTGCCTGAAATAAGTGGAAAGGTGCTGGAATGTCTAGAAATTTTAAGTTCTCATGTAGTCTGTAAGAGAAAGTTACTTCTTTTAAAGATTAATTTCTTTGCGGATTGTTGGTTTCCAGTATGGAAGCTAGTGGAGGAGGGGGGTTGTACATTGATATAGTAGCTGTTTGTTTTTTTCTTATTCTATGGATTATTATTCACCTGCCTTAATAGCAGTCTTTAGCCAAGTCTTTACCACAATGAGATACAAAGTTTTCTTAATAAGAGTAAAAAGTTCTAGTTGTAGGATTTCTTATAGTAATATCTATTTAAGTGCTCTTCCATTACATTTGAAATAACATACTTGCTGATTTTTTTCCAGTTATTTCAATATAAATAATTTTCCTAATTTATATGACCATATTGCAGTTTAAGCATACAAACACGTAATAGTTTAAAAGCCCTGCTTTTTAACTTAATTTTATAAACTAAGTTTTAATTAGTACTGGTTTATTTCATTTTATAAGCTATGTTTTGCATACTTACAACAATGAGTAAATATTAAAGGGAATCTGATTAATTTTCTCTTTTTAACCTCCATGTTATTTCAGCATTTCCATTACATTTTATTGTTGATTTATGTTTTCATTCCCCATGTAGTATACTGCTTTTTCATTATCTGTGAAATTAGATCTTTTTAATTATATAAGTTATATGTGCACTTTCATATTAGCATAGTTTTGAAGATAAAATAGTTATTTGGGAGTGTGTCACAAATGATAAACAGTGGTTTGTGGTATAAATGTTCTATAGCAAAGCTTACTGATATATTTTAATGCTATGAGGGTGCCAATCAAGTTGACATTATGACTTGGCATATCAAGTAATATGCCTTCTAAACCCCTGAACTTGGAAAATAGAAGTACTTATTAATGCAAAAGAACTCATCCTTAATACTGCATTTTAAATGCAATAACCTAAGTGTTATGAATACTGGATTTAAATATACCCACATATCAGATCACACATAGTGAAGACAAATCTAGGTCCAAATAATTGATATTACGACCTAATATGCAGGAAAACTACTAATAAAGTTTCTATTTTTTCAGTTCTCAGAGGTTCAGGTTTAGAGGTTAATTCGGTGGGAACATTACATCAGGCACATTGCTTGTTTTTATTTTCATTCACAGCTGGAGTGCCAAGCACGTTTCAGGGACTTCAGAAATTTCTGTTGAATAAGATACATGAGTTTCTGATTTTAAATCTGGCAATGCAATATCAATGACAAGAATGCTTTTCCTTCATGGAAATGTTTCACAATTTTACATTGTGAATTTACCAATGGGTACTCAATCCAATTTCATGATCCAAATGAGTTCGGGGAGGTATTTCTTAAACCTACCTTGGAAATAACCATGTCCTTAGACCTGGAGGGAAATGAAGTAGAGTAGCTTACCATCTGCCTAAAAAAAAAAAAAAGTACAGTCTACCTCTGCTTTAGTTTTCTTTAGATTTAATTTTTAAGTAAAAAAAAAAATTCTGGAAATAGTATTAAGCCACATACCATATCGGTGTCCTTTTATTCTAATCAGACCGGCAGAAATTCTCTGCTTTAGTAATTATGAACAAATGCTGTATAAGTATCTGTTAAAGTATCTGAAAAGTATATGAAAACTTCTTAAAAATTTGTTAGCTGACAAGTATTAATTTGCCTCATGAAAATAATAATTTATATATATATATATTATGTGTAATAAGAAATGTGTATTTAATATAGTGTACATGTAGATTGTGCTCTGATGATCTTTAAAGTTAAATAAATAAATCTCAATTTGTATTCAAGTTACATTTGAGCGCTCTATTAGAAGACAAAACATACCTTGTTTTGTGATCTTGGTCAAAATTTTACATCACTTTTAGCCTCAGGTGTGAAATTAAACAACAAAACCTCATCATCTAAATGTAGTGCTGGATCAAATGATCCAACTCCAAATTTTTATATCCTTCCATATATAAAGTTATCTATTATGCAATTATCTGAGTTCTTCTGGAACCTCTCCTTATGTCCAATGCTCTTCCACTGGCCTGAGACCAATTATTGCACTCCCGTGCTTATCCCCTTTACTTGCTGCTCCTTTCTCAACATTAATCCATGGATATTATTTTCTTTTCTTATTTATTCAGAGCCATATTTTCTTTTTAATGCCTCTTTCCTTTCTGTTTATGAAGATGTGTACTATGCTTAATTTACCATAAATACAGAAATAAAACTCCAGAAGCTAGGTTACACATTCCCCTTTCCTCAGATTCTTCCATCATTTTCTCTATTTGAGTTTTTTTAAACCATTGCTTGTAGTGCTATGTTCTCACTTTCAATTTAATTTTCAATCTACTATAATCTGATTCCCTTTCTAGTTATTGTCCTATAACTGAAGGGGACCAATAACCTTCACAGTTTTCAGATCAGATGATAATTTTACATTTTTCTCAATGGGGAACCCAATGAATACTGTTATACTCCAGAGCTACATTCCAGGCTCAAACCAGCAATATCTCATCTTCTTTTATTCTTTAAAAAGAGTCTTTGAGCTCTAGCCAGTTTGGTTCTGTGGATAGAGCATCACCCTGCGGACTGAAGGAACCAGAGTTTGATTCTGGTCAAGTGTACATGCCTGGGTTGCAGGCTCAATCCCCAGTAGGGGGTGTCCAGGAGGCAGCCAATAAATGATTCTCTCATCATTGATGTTTCTCTCTCTCTCTCCCTTCCTCTTTGAAATCAATAAAAAATATATTTTTAAAGGGTCTTGGAATATAAACTTCTTTCCCTCAAAATTGGCTGCCACCACTATACATTCTAGTCTTTGAGTTTCTGTGTCTGAGTTCAGCATAGATCCAGGCTCCCAAGCATCTGCTCTTGTATATCCCTAGACATCATTTGGCCTTCTGTTATTTTGTTTTAGTTTTTACTATTCACTGTATGTTCTCACTTCAAGGGTTTTACTGACAATATTTGTAGGAACATGTGCCACACTAAGCACACTGTCCAGCTATCTGCTGTCCCCAGATAGACAATCCCAGTCATCCTCAGTACAGATGCCAGTCCTCAGGAAGTCTCTGATTTCTTGCTCCTCCTTCAAATAATTAGATCCCATTGTAAGTGTGTCTAGTACCCTCTTTTTTGCATTTAAGTATCACAATTTGTAATTGCATATTCATGTCTCAACTCTTTCTTAATAACAATGACCATGCTTATTTTAATAAATCATTTATTCCTGTCTCTTTGCACAGGGCTTTGTATATATTAGTTGCTCAATAAATATGCTATGTATTAGCAAAGGAGAACAAATCAAATTGACAACCATACCTTTATTATACCTTCCACAGTAATTATCTATAAGTGTAGTCTATGTCTCTCCTTTAGCTTTGAGGATCACATACCTAACGTGTTCCCTTGAACTTGAACATAACATCTCAATCTTTACATGTCCTTTATAAATGAAAGAAACAACAGACAAAAATAAACTTCCTAAATTGGTTTGTATATATTTCCCCTGCCCATGTCTATTTTGCAGGTATACCCCATTTCATGGCAAAACCTAGTAACACATACCAACAACTTGGAAGTTTTCCTTAACATCTAATCAATGATTAAATGGTATTCATTCTCCAAACTATAAGTCATAGACTATGTCCTTGCCACCTCTCTTTTGTTTGAGTCTCTTTATTTCTTATTATCTTTAATTGTATCTCCTTCAAATCCACCCTCTAAATTAGTTCCAGATATCTTTCTAACCTAGAAATCTAATTGTTTTATTTTTCATTTCTTTAGTGAATTGTTGAAGGCAAACATTTGAACTAATATGGTCCAACTATGTAGTTTTCTCATCGATTTATATGCATGATCAACAATAAGAAAATTAATGTTTGTTCTTTATTGGGCACCTATTACCAAGTGCCTAGGAATATCTTCATTTTGGAAATGACAACACATAGGACTAGCCTATTAAAGTTACTTGCTGAAGATCACATATCTAACAAATGGTGGACTCAATATTATACACAAATCTAAAGTCCATGCTCATATTCTTCCTCCAACCATTACACACATCTCAGGCATCATGCTTCTACACATCTCCAGGACATTAGATGTGCTGATCTCCTTGGCTAAAATGCCCTTGCCTCCTTTCCCTAACCAGTGAACTCTAACTTATTTCATAAGATCCATCTAATTATACTTAAATCTTAAAACTGTCCAAACAAATCCAATTGCTGTAATGTTTCTGCAGACTTATACAAATTCTTTTATGTTGCCTCATCAAATTATAGATTTATTGTAAATAAATCTGTTTCTGACAGCAGGTTACATGCTCTAAGGGTTTTGTTTTATTCACCATTTTTTTTACCATTTCCTAGCATACTGTTTAGCACATAATTTATTTGAGATAAAATTTTTAAATAATTAACTTTAACCCTGTTGAGATGGTTTTCATTCCTAAACCTCAATCAGTGTCCAAGCAAAGCATATTCTCTAAAAATAAACTAGATATTAAATTATTAAAGCAGAAACATAGCAATGTAATACCCAAGCTAATATGAGGCATGTCATTATTTTGTGATTCACTTCATACAACTCATGGAAAACATCACTTTCAAGTCTTTTTATTGTTTTATTATTTTTTTTAACGCATCCTGCCTTGTTCCAAGAGCATTTCAGGCAGTTTACCAGAAAAATGTATATATTTAATAAAATTTTATTAATAAAATCATATATGACTAGAAGTAGATCAGGATGAAGGAAAATAGACTATCAATTTGTCCACCATTTGGGCCAAAACATGAACTGTAGTTCATAAGTATAGTAAGTTTCAAATTCTGATTTTCTTGGCTACCACAGTAAACCATGAGGCGAGGGGGTAGTTATATTTCTTTCATCAAAAAATGGAAGCATCAATTCCCTCAGAAAAATATTTTCCTACACTGAGTTCTCTTTTTAAAACAACATCATATGGGTTTTAAACTGGGTACTGTTGCAAGTAGTAATGTCAACATTTTTCCAATAAACGCAGTAATTAATTTCATATTGATGTTTCTTGTAGTCCCCTTCAATAAAAACTGAAGGCATTACATTAACACACAACTCAGTGAAGGCAATTCTTCAAGGATCTAAGCTAACATGGTCCAAATATATAGCTTTCTCATGGCCCAATTTAATCCAAGGAAAGACTTTAGAGTACTTAGAGAAGTGGATGGACTGTATAACCTTCCAAGGATTTTCTGTAAGTATCACTTTTCTTAGTCAGGAGGGTTAGCTGATAGTTAATACCATTGTCTGGCAAGGGAGCATGTTGTTGTTTTACAAGTAATGGGCTCTCTGGTCACCACAATGACTGTAAAAAAAGCCACATGGTATGTAGAAAGAGCATAGAGTTACCACTATGGAGACCCGGTGTTTCCTCCAAAGTCTATTATATGTAGTGTTATATTAACAAAAGCTCCTTGTTCTAAGGGACACATCTGTGATTCTTCCCAACTCTAAAACTATGTGGTGGTTCTTTGTATTTATGTGCCAGACAAATAGGTATCCATATTTTAGCTAGAGTATTCACACATTATTTTACCTACCATGTTTCCCCAAAAATAAGACATCCTCTGAAAATAAGACCTACTTACAGGTTTTCTTCTGAGTGAAATATAAAGCATCCCCCAAAAATAAAGCCCCCCCTAGGCTAATCATGAGAGATTTGGTCTACTGATTCTAAAGAAATGGAGTCACAAGAAAGTCACCAGGAAATTCAGGAATTGGATTGTTATGATGATGTTCCAGAAGATGATGACATGATTGTCATTGAATAAATGAGTAAATTCTTGATACTGTAGGATTCACAGTTTGTCTGGCTTGTGTTGACAACTACCGTACTACCGTACTGTATACAGGTAATAAATTTCCTTTATTTTCATTTAACAATAAATGTGTACCATTTTCTTCTTCATGGAAAAATAAGACATCCCCTGAAAATAAGACCTAGCGCATCTTTGGGAAAAAATTTAATATAAGACACTGTCTTATTTTCGGGGAAACAGGGTAGTACTATATGGAAGCCAAGATGGGTTAGCCTCTCTGCTGTAAGACATTTAGATTTCTGTAATCAGAAAATTTCTAGACTTGAGTTTCTAAATATATATTCAGAACGCCAATAAAGTAAGCTCAGAATATTCTGAATTCTATAAAACACCATTTTAAAAATAGAATTTAATTAATTTTAGTTATATTTCCTTTTCATTCTACTTTAGTAGCAACATCAACAACTTTCATAGTGGCATAATTTACATTTTCCTCAAAGAGTGTAAAAAAATACATCATTTACTGATTTTGTTCATGAGCCATATTATCCCCCTTCTCACTTATATGAGTTTCAATCGCTAGTAAAACAACTTCCACAAACATTGTTTTACAGTTGAGCTTATTTCTTGATTTCCCAGTCCCCTATATCTATAAATGGTGAAATTGAGAAATTTCAGGAGAATTACATAATAGAATTATAGAATAAACCATTGAAATCTGTTTCTATTAGTCTAATGAAAGTGATTATATTCCACAAAAACCTAATGTTTGTACGTATTATATATGGACATGTATGTACATAAATTCTGACTTTCACTACTCTCCACTAAATGTGATGTATTTCACCGTGATTCAAATACTTATGTTAGTTTATTTGACTCTCACAACAGTTCGATATGGATTTGGTATAATTACCTCCATTTTAATCAAATTGAAGCTGAAAAGGGAGATGTTAAGAAACATTCTCAAGACCCCAATTCTCTATAAGTGAAATGTGACATCATTTTAAATGATGCTTAGGTAGAGTTGAAATAATAGAACCACTACATGTTACATCCTTTGTGTGTTAAGAGTCCTTTTAGAAAATTGGCCCAGTAACATAAATTGGACTATTTCAGTAACAAGTACTTCCAAGTTTCAAACACCTTCCTCAGAGTGAAACTCACATCGCATAGTGTTTAAAGCAGAGGTTAGAAGTCACGCACATCTAAGAGTGTGTACACTTTCATCCATTTAATAAAAGCCAGACCTGGTCATGTCACAAAACCTCTCTGAATTTGTAACATGGGGTTAATAGTAGAACTTACTTCTTATCCAGCAGTGAAGTTTGTCACAGATGACACCTAGGCCTATCATTCAACCTGACACATCACAGCGCTGGAAAAGTGTTAGCTCTCGACTCACCATCACTGTCCATTTGTAACACAGTAAGGACAAGTGTCACTACTGAAGAAAGGCTGTCTTCTCACTGCATATAAAGATACAAATGGTAAATCCATCACCCCATTTCCTGTCCTACTCCAGCCTGGCCTGGAAGGATGTCTCATCAGAGGGAAAAGCCGGATGCCAGTGAAGGACAGAAAGTCCAGTCCTGTTTTCAGAACCTCCTGGCCTTTCCGTGGGCCTTTCCGATATCATTTTATGCAAATATTTTGAGAAATGTTTATTCAAATTAACTGATCCTATTCTAGACCAGTTGGTCCCCTAAGTCTGTTGATTTACACTATTCAGTATTTTATATAATTCATTGCTCCATTTTATTTGCCATATTAATAACTAATGATACAGTTATATTAATATAAAAATTCTGGTAAACACTTTCGGTGTTTTCCGGCTTCATCAATTCAGCTACGTATTATGTGCCAGTACAATAATCACACAACTAAAGAAGGAATTTACACATTTTGAAAAATACCATGATGGGGATAAAATAAGTTGAGTGTGATGAAAGAACTAACATGGGAACAAGGACTCTGTAAGACTGAGTTGTTAAGGAATGCCTTTCTGAGGAAATGGCATTTCAACCAAGATCCACTTTGGAGAGGGAATGGATCCTGTGAACATCAGGATGGATGGAAGGAATTCCAGGCTGTGGAAGTAGCAGGGTCAGAGGCACCAAACAAAGAAATATTCTGAAAACTGAAGCTGTTTTAGCGGGCTCATATATAATAAGCAAAAGAAAGAAGCCTTGGTAAGAATCGCTTTTACTCCAAGTTTCAAGATATCGTACTAAAGAGATTTAAGCAGAAGAGTGACATGATCCAATTTATGTCTTTAAAAAAAAAATCCCTCTGGCTAGAGTGTGTCTAATGGTTAGGCAAGGTCAAGCCGGGCTGGGAGAGCACACTGGAATATCCATTCATCCAGGCCGGAGGTAACAGTGACCCCGACTAGAGTCATGAGAGCTGAACTGGGGATTATAAGGAGAAACAGGTTGTGGATAAGTGAGCAAAAAAAATTTTTAAAGTTTGTATTTTATCTTCCTCTTTATATTTTAGTATTTATTACACTGCCATTGTTTATGGTTACAATTTTTTACCACCTGAGTAAAGCATCGCTCTTTGAGTGTGACATGAAGGGAGGAAATCCTGCTATCAAGTTAAAGAAATTACATTTCTTTATTCAGAATCTGAAATCACTCATTATAGATTATCATTCCCTTGTTAAAATATTTTTGCTTTTTCACTTATTCACTCACTCATTCACTCAACAAATATTTGAGTTCCTTAAAATAGTCAAAGTTGTTGTGTCAGGATTACAGTTGTATTTTATTGTGTCCATGGGAGCCAAAAATGGCTGTGCAGGAAAATGGTACCATTGATCTTATTGTGAGGGTATCCTCACCATCACGGTTTTAGGATTTTTAAAAACTTATTTATTTCCCTAAATTCTTTATGTCTGGTGGATAATGATGTTTATCAAAATACTTCACAATTTGGAAAGTGTTAAGAAGCAGGCTCAACCCACATTCTGTGACTTCTTGTGTTTTTCGATAGAAAAAGGAGAAAGCCTCCGTCATGATACAGAACAATGCCTACGCGGTGGCTGTGGCCAATTACGCCCCCAACCTTTCCAAAGACCCCGTTCTCTCCACCATCTCCAAGAGTGCAGCCACGCCGGAGCCCAACAAGAAGCCGGAAAACAAGCCCGCCGAAGCCAAGAAAACCTTCAACAGTGTCAGCAAAATCGACAGAATGTCCAGAATAGTCTTCCCCGTTTTGTTTGGTACATTTAATTTGGTTTACTGGGCCACCTATTTAAACAGGGAGCCTGTCTTAGGGGTCAGTCCTTGAAGGTAGGACTGACCCCTAAAACAGGGGATGGTTAACTTTGGGGATGCGTGGCACCATTCAGCTCGGTTTGTTTTGCTCTGTACAGTCTGACTAATAACTGCTAATGGGTGAACCGACATGTACAGTATATATATAGTGATATAGCTTAACAGTACACCTTTAAAGGAGACACGGATTTGCTTATGCGTGGAACTGTAGACAAAAAAGTATCTCCTGCCCAAATTATGATTTACCCTTGGAAATGGCTTAAGGTGGATTTCAGACAACCTGATTGATTTCCTCTTATAACAGCCATGAAACTGGAGACCCTCTGCCACATTTGATGAACTTTTTTTTTTTTTTTTTTTTTTACTTGGGTCTTATACAGGAGTGTTTTTCTACCGTTGCCTAACTGTAATATAAGATAGCATTGTAATTCCAGGATCAGTTCTCCTAAATAACAGAACCTCATGTCAGCAACTTCAGTCTCTTCCTGGGTGGTCATAATCCCTCCTAGCATAATTGGAAGCTTAGTCCACATTAGAAGGAACCCTAGACATTTGACATCAGCTTTTAATTACTCTCCATAGTATGTATAGCCATGTACATAGTATTGCATGACAAGCCCAAATAATTACGAGTAGCACCTATCTGGATGTCAGTCATGCCTAGAATTTAGTGATGATCAGAATGCCATGGTCATTACATTTTTAGCATCAGAGTTTATTTGAAAGTAATAATTGAAATCCTCGTGCTCATTCTAATCAATGGAATCCATCTTAAATTGTTTGAACCAAGTAAAAGGAAATGTGTCTTACCCTTTTCAGGTATGTGTTGTATTGGAATTGATCAGCTCAATTTTCTTGGTGCTGGAGACTGGAAAAAAGCACCCAGTTTGGCTGCTGTGGGAGCAACTTACATTTCGTAGTAGGAAATTGTGCCAAAAACTCCCACCACTGAGAACTCATAGGTGTCACAGAATATAGATATGTAGGTGCACACTTACATGATTCTCTTCTTTCCTGTTTACTGCAAATCCTGCCTTAAGGCTTCTTTTCATCAGGATTCCGAAGCCACCAATTACAATGGAAAGGGCAGTGAGTTGGCACATTTTTCTGTCTCAAAAGCGGCACTTTCAGATAAGAATGAACGCAAATCTGCTTTTGTAAATTGCAGCTCTAAATTTCACCAACTCAAATTTACAACAGCTTTGTATACCGGGAGAGGTTTTGGTAAGAGTTGAACATTTTTAAACTGCAACTTCAAAGCATCACCAAAATTGCAAATTAATTCATGTGCACAAACATCACACACACACGCGCACACACACACACACACACACACACACACACAATTAGCTAACTTAGAACACGTACAAAGACAAGTAACTAAATTAAAAACTAAAATTTTCTACTTTATATAATTCTTTATGGATGAATTTTATTTTTCTTCTAATATTTAAAAATTGCTCTTTATGCCCCTCAAAAATGTTAATAGAATGTAACAATTGTGTCTTATGCCTGGATTCAATGTTTTTGGGAAAACTTAAAATCCTTTTGATTCACATAAACATTAGCAGTTATTAGTTGACTTTTACTAGTAGATATGATGGTGTTTTTGTAGCAACATCAGTAGTCAAATAGTGGCATTTCTTGCAATTTTGTACAGTGTTTCAGAATAGTGCATAAATAGGTACATTCATAAAATCAATAAAAATGATTATCTTATGGAAGTAAGCAAAGTCACAAAAATGGCTATTCCTTTGCCTAGTCTAAAATGTTTATTTTCTTTGTTTTAGTGTGATTCTTCTTATGTGCTTTGCATGGTTAACTTATTACCAAGGTCACAAATAAATCTTTTTAACAGAATTCACCCTGAAGACAGCCTTGCCAGTAAAAATTTATTCACAAAAAAGTAATCTATCATCTATCATAATAAAAGCATAATATGCTAATTAGACTGGATATCCTTCCGGACAACCTTCTGGACGAAGCCAGGGCAGCAAGGGAAGCTGGGGCCCCAAGTGCCAGAGGGGGAAAGCTGATGCTGGCAGCCGGGGGAAGGAAGACCTATTCTTGCACGAATTTCATGCATTGGGCCTCTAGTTCTTAATAAAAGAAAATTATTATAGGAGTCAATAAATGTATTCTTTAATCCCATTTCAGTAACACCCTATTTTTTTTTAATCTAAGTAGTTTTAAAATGTGCACTTTGCGTATACATTGAAATGGAAGATATCCTATTCCACATTTAAATATAGCATAACTCTTCTGTGTAGTTTAGGGAAGTGTGCAATAGTGTCCAAGAATGTCCACAGTGTTGAAAGCAAGCAATAAAAATGCTTTGTTTGATATGCCATTATTAGACACCTTAAAAAATATTGCCCTTATAAGTTCTGCATTGATCCTTTAATGTCTGACTATAGATCATACATTTAAAAATATGTAGATATGTAAATAGCAGTTTCTGCAGGACAAAAGAAAAGACTCGTCTACACCTTCAGCAAAGGATTGAGCATACATTTGATGGCACCCCTTTCATTAAAATTAATTGTAGATTGACTGGAAAAGTTATAATGATTGTTATTTGATTTTTAGTTTTAATTGTTAAAATCTTCTTTGAGCCTGATGTCATACTGGCAGTTTAAATTTTATGCTCAGGATTTCCTATTATTTCTCTAACTTCAGTGAATGTTTCAAAATTTCATAATCTTTCAAAGTTCAGATAAACAAAAAAGGGCCTTTGATCCTGCTGGAGAGAAGAAGGTTGCTCCATGGAAAAAGGATTTTGAATTGTAAAACCATAGTCTTCACAGTTATTCTCTCTTCCATAAATCACTTTAAAATACAAATTAGAAGTGACTTGTTAAAATGATTTTTTTGGGGGGAAACATTTTTAATATACTATATGTTCTCTTTGGCTCATAGTATGCTTATTTTATGTAGTTGTACGTTTATGTAAAGGGTTATAGAGTGTACAAAATGTAGACAAATACATGTATGTGTATAGAAATAAAATCTCATTTTTGTATAGTTACTGCTCTGACTCAGCTAATTGCTCAACAAATACTTTTTGCCTCCTACTATGTGTGTTGCAGTGAGAAGGCTGTTACTACCACTCACATCACATCCACAGAGCTGAGTTAAAAAGTAAAGTACATCTCATTCTTATAAGGACTTAAAATAAACGACTAAATGGAACATAGAAATCAATTTAGCCCTAAGAGTTGCTTAATTGCCTATGAGATCACTGGTGTGCTAAGATGGTAACGGTTTCTCTCCTTTCTCCTTTCCGTGCCCCTGTTTTTTTAAATATAAAAATGGAATTAACATAATCATTTAATGTGTGCTTTTTCAACCATCAGTGACTTAAGTTGCTATCAATATTTAGTAGTCTTTTCAGGGATCTCTGTATTTTGAATTTATCTCAGGTTTGCATAACTGATCCCCTTGAGCCACATTTGCTTAAATGGTTCATATTTTGCTTAAAAAGAACACAGAAGCCCTTCTTTCACTCATATCTTCCCCATGTTTATGATGTGGCTCTTTTTATGTTCCTGGCCCAGGGAACAGAATTCTGCTAATGATATCATAGATTCCGATGGACACAAAGTGGACTTGGGCATGGTCTCTCATCGCTTTAGTGGGAGGACAAGGGGAGTAGCTTAGGGCACCTCCTGCAAAGTCATGGCTCTTCAGGCATCTATTAAGATTTTTTTTCAACTAGTGCCTGTGAATCACTAAAATGTTTATTGCTTAATTTAAAATCTGGGGTCATATTGGCAGGTTTGTTACACAGGTTGCTTCTGGTATTAGCCTTCTGGCATTTCTACACTTATCAGCTAGTTTTTGAAGCAATTTTTTGAAGCAATTGCCTGATATTTTTCATATAAAAATATTCAGAAGTTCAAAGGAATCATGAACTGACCCATTGCTAACCTGTATTGCATTTATTTTTCTTTTAATTGAGGTTGCATAGGCACCTTGGGCTACCTTTTTATTAATTCAAAATATACATAATCATAAAAATTAAATTGCAAATGATGCAGTTTTGACCATCTGCATAAGAACCCACGACATTGTATCCAAATCACTAATAATGACATTGAAAAGACAAATTATGATATTTGCTTCTGCTATGCATGCTTTAAAAATTAAATTCACTATTTAATAAATATTTTTAATATTTATAATGTTTTATCAACATTGTATGAAAAATACTAATATTTTCCATTCGTGTGAAGAACTCATAGTTTTATCAAAGACAAATTTAGGGTCTCTAAAACAAGAAAGGAAGAAAGAAAGCCACCGGAATAATGAGTTGTTACTAATTAAACTATGTGAAGCATTTTCTTTTTTTAACTTCCTCATAAAGAGGAGAAATTATACATACATAAGTATATATTGAAGTACCTAACAGTCATGATTCTATCAAGGTATGCACCATGATTAAAACACTGAAATAGATCAAGTTCATGTAAAAGGCATTTGAGGAAGGTGACATTCAATAAATTATTCAATAACTACTTCTTATAAGAATTTTATATCATGTTATTTCCTTAATATTCTTATCTTTCCAACTTATTTAGACCACTGTTCTTAATTTTATTTAGTTAAAATAATTATTTTTGTTTTATATAGAGAGCATTTTTATATATGTAATTATATACCCCATTTCAGATCATTCTCTCTATGTTGTATTTAATGCATTGCATCAATTAATATTGCCAATAAATATGAACAAAAGATTTATGTTTCAGTTAGAGCAGTAGCCCCAAAAAAGTATTTAGGTCTTAACTTTGATTATAAGTATGCGTGTGTGTGCACATGTGTGTATGTGTGTGCATTTATTTCCCAGTTATGAAATATTTTGAGAAGTTTAGACAAACCTATGAAATATAAACAATTTATTTTATTAATGGATCCAATCACAAATGAGGCTCTAATTAAACTATCAGTTCACTTTGCCATAGATTAGCTTTTTAAATAGATCTGTAACAAACAGATTAAATTAACGGGGATTTAGTCGAGCTATAGAAATGGCTAGAAATATCCTTCTTATAAAGGAATATCCTTCTTTTCTAATATACTTCTATTTGGTTCATTTGAGCCATTAAGTTAACCATGATATCACAATTCTGCTTGTAAATTATAATAGGAAAAATCTTTTAACTCCAATTTGCTCAGTGGAGGTTTGTGAAAGCTTCCATTAAGTTAAACATCTGGTTGTTCATTTGCAAACAGCAACTCATCTACATTCACTACTGGTTAGTTGCACACCTTTTTAAATTGAAACAGTTCTAAGCATGTTATTATAGTTTATCTAAAAGCACATGCTATCATTGCATGCTAGTCCAAGTTCCAGACTCTTTACATATATTACTCATTCAGTACTCACAACTACTATAATCACTGTGATTCTTAAAGGTGTGGAAGCTTAAACTTTAATATAGTACACCAACATGCCACTAATGCAAATATCAGGCAAAGTAAAAAAGGTTTATTTTTCTTTGCTTTAACTCAACATTATATTCATATATTTTGGGGAGCATCAATCCAAAAAGAAGGCCACTATCTGCTTTCTACACAGTAAAATCAAGCAAAACTAAAACGGAACTGCATAGCAACCAAGAATCTCCTTTTGTGAGATAGCTGTTTACTAACATCGGTTACAGCTTAAGAGTTTGGGAATACACTGCATTTTTCTGTTTTGATCCATTTGCACTTATAATGTTTAACAAGATGCTTAAAGTTGATTAAGCACACAGAAGAAACACTTCTTTATGTTCTTTTTTCTGTCAGTTTTGTAAGGGGTGGGAGAGATTTTTATTGATCATATTGAGGGTTTCATGACAGTTAAATCCACAGGACTTCATAAATTAAGTGTTGATTTCATCAAACAATTTACTGCAAATCACTATAAATAGAAGGAAGCCTAAACTGATAAAAAATAAATTCCAGTGCAGGGAATCTAAGTGTTGAATTTGTCTGGTTGGTGTGAAAATCAAAGTTTTTCATGCTTTGTTTCAGAAGACTAACTTTGCCACAACATGTTGCCAGATGCAAGCCTGGATAAATGAGTACTTCCAACAAAGTGTATTTGTGCTAACGATTGATCCTGGAAAGCAAAACAAAGTAGTTAAATAAAATTACCAGTACTTTAGGAATAGTGCCTCATGGATTTATTCGCAATTAATTTATATTTAAAATATTGAACACAGTAGTAGAAGCACTTGTGGTTTATACCCAGCATAATGTATAAATAAGTTTAATATGTGATTTAGAAAGGTCTAAGGGAAATTGAACTTTGAGCTACAATATTCATGAATTAAATTTTACCATCTATGCTTAAGTCTTTGTTGAACTTGGGTGCCTGTTTCATAGTTGATTTCAAGTTTGTTGGTATTCAAATTTTTTCAAGATTTTTCTGAACAAATATAATCTGGTTTGGTTTGCTCCAAACTGAGGAATGTGACTATTAAGAAATATTTTTCTTGGAAGTGGCATACATGGAAACTAGAAAAGGCTTCATATTTGTTGCTAAATTTGAAAAAACAAAACAAAAAAGACTAAAATATTTTTTCCTTGCTACAAGTTGATAAAAAAAATTATATGCATAAAGAATGCCTGCTAAAGTTTCAATTGTAAACATTAAATATTCACATTAGGTGAAACCTTAAAATTTTGGGGTGACAGTATGCTTGTATGGTAGGTTTTCTGGTTTGAGGAAATCATTTAGGAGCTAATAATATTTATAACTTGTGACCTTGTTGTAATTGGGAAAAGTCACTACTTTTTATGTATGTAAGATAATTTGACCTTTATTGAATGTGTCATTATGCTTGCTGTTAAAAAATTTCCTGATTAATCACATGCAGATTAATGCTAAAACATTATCTTTTGTACTTATTAAAATTAATTTAAATATATTTGATCTAAAAATTGTGGTTTTGATATTTTAATCATTGCATGTTTGCTTACAAGACTTGAATTTACTATAAATGTGACTTTTGATTTGAAATGTTAGTTTAATTTCTTTTTTAAAATATATTTTTATTTATTTCAGAGAGGAAGGGAGAAGGAGGGAGAGGCAAAAACAACTATGATGAGAGAGAATTATTGATTGGCTGCCTCCATCTCACACTGGGGATCGAACCTGCAACCCAGGCATGTGCCCTGACCAGGAATCAAACCTGAGACCTCCTGGTTCACAGGTCAGTGCTCAACCACTGAGCCATGCCAGCTGGGCAAACTTTTTTTTTTTTAAATAAAAAATTATGAGGTGACATAAACTTACCCTGAAATTTTAGTGAGAATCATGAATTGCTAATGTTATCTCTTTAACACTTTAAGAAAAGGATGCTATGGAAAAATAAAAGTTTTCACAAAAATCAATTATATTCTATCATGGAAGTGTCACACTTACATAAAAAATATTAAAATACATAAGATTTTCTTTATTTTAGGTAGACTCAGTTTATCATTCTATTTGTAAATTAGAGATATTACAGTTTTCTAGTTAGATGAATTCTCTTAATAGAGCTTTGTTTGCTAGTAAATGGACTTCTCTTGATAATTGCTATTGTTACTAAATGTCACTGAAATTACTTTTTTTTTTTAATTGAGAGCAGAAAAAAGAGAGAGAAAAGCATCAACATAAGAGAGGAACATAGAGGAGATTGGTTGCCTCCTCTATGTACCCCGACCAAAGATCAAACCCCCAACCCTGGTAGGTGCCCTGACCAGGAATTGAATCCACACCCTTTTGGTGTACAGGATGATTCTCCAACTAAGTAAGCTACACTAACCAGGGTGAAATTAATTGCTTTTACATGTAAAAATGGTATAATATTGGAGCGATTTTTATCATCATGGTAAATCCTCACATTTATCAACAATAGGCACATTTAAAATCACCTGAGGAATTTTAAGAAGATCTTTGTTCTACCCTAGACCAAATATGTCAGAATTTTCAGAGGAATTCTGAGCAAAATTCAAAACTCCCCAAGTTATTCTACTCTAAAGCTATGTGC